TCTCGTTTCCAATCTTTTCTTGGAGAGGAGGGAAAATCAGAAGGAGGGAAAAGTTGTGTTAATATTCCAGTTTTGCGATATATTTATTTATCTTTTATTTCTTATTTTCTTTCTAATCTTAAACTTATATTTGTGCGTTATATCGATTTAGTTAATAATCTCATCGAGTGCTATCTTTTTTAAATCATTAAACGAAATGTATGCTACATGTATTGTTATAAATATAAATAAGGAAAATAATTTCTTTAAAATTTGCCCGATATTTCAACCGCGTATAACACTTTTATATGGCGCAATATGGTGAAAGCTAATTAAGCGATTTTTCATTAGAACAGTGAAACTTTATTAAAAAAAAAAAAAAAAAACACGCACAAATTGGACTATTATTTCGCGATGAATAAAAGGTAATTAAAAGATTTCATATCGCGAAGAATATTTTTCACCGCGCAATAGAGCAACTCTATTAAAATATAAATTTGACTGTTACTACCCTCCTGTTATTATATAACGTAATAATGCCGATAAAGTCGCGAGAGAGAGAGAAGATGGGTCGCTCTTTGTCAAAATTCTCCCGCCATTTTATCGTCTCCCCTCCCCCACGTGAGGAGGGGGAGGAAAAATTCCGGAATTTCCGAGCTTCATAATCATTAAGCAGTGCATCGTCGTAACACGAAATTACCAAAGCCTTTTCCTTTACCCAGCGCAAACAATGTTGCGCTAGCCCCCTGAAAAGGGGGTGTCTCGTAAACTGGAATACTATTATAATGCGTTTAGTGGTGCGCGCACGAGCGGCCATGTTAATTATAATTTTATATTATTACCTCCCGCGTATATTATGGCCGTTAAATTTTCTGCTTAGAATTCCCTTAACGAAAAATGGTCACCGGAAACCGGTGGGAGAACGGAAGAAGTATGGATAAAAGGCTGGTTCAATACAGAGTTTTAAAGACGATATTCAATCCCCGTTGTGTCGATTATGAAAGCATTCTTATGCTCCAAATTTGTTTTATTAACGTTATATATATCGTATAAATTATAATAAGTGTTGATGATTTAAAATTGTAAAATAATAAATTATAAAATAATAAATTTTTTCTTTTTTATTATATACGTGGTATGTGTTATTTAACGCATATAGGCATTTTTTCGTGTGCAGATGTATAATTTAAAGAATTAATTTAACCGTTATTTTTTTTTCTGTATGCACGGTAAAATGTACGGTTTTACATTAGATACGTATATGGCTCTGCACGATGAAAGCTTTTGTAAAAGCTTTTCAAAATTAGCTTTTCAACTGTATAACTTTTTTTAATGTAAATTTGTAACGTAATAAATGTCTTATAAATGTTATTGTAATTGTAATAATTTTTTTTTTCTTTTTAGACGTCTGATTGATGTTTATATATCTATTATATATCTCGTCCATTCTTCTCGTTCATCTCAATTTTTTTTCAGCATCACTTACTCGATTGATCAACGAAAATTATTACACTTTTCCTCTCGAGTAAAATTTTGCACAAAGACTAATATAAAATGTATCGTTTACTTAATCATTAAATAAAGAATATAATCAATTGAAATATAATACTTAGCAAATTATTAGAAATAAATTTCAGTTTTAATAATAATATATTATCATTAGACAGCAAAAAAAAAAAAATATATATATTGGACGATAGATTTATTCTATATCTAGCATGTAGAGAACTTATGGTGGTGCAGTATGGAGGTATAATAAAGAAGGGTCCCTTTGCGGATTCGGTTACAATACCGGCTAGGTTGGGCCTCGAGAATTTGTGGTTGTCGGCAAATGCATAATTAGTTTAAACCGAGTAACACCGTAATTAAGCTGGTTTAACTCCTTTATCAAGATGGAGGCCTGCGGCTTTTCGGTCTTGTCATTTCCAAGAAATTCGCCCCCAGACTTTAGGAGGGGAAGAAAAAAAATTGTAGATAGATTTTTTTTTTTAAAGATCGCTTAATCTTTTCGACAGACAACTGTGCGTGCATCGTTTCCTCGTATAATGTAACATATTTTTCCTCAAATATTATAATAATTATATTTCTTTTTAAAATCTTCCATCTTTTTAAAACGAATTAAAGTAATAAGATTTTCATTTTTCAGTCGAGAAGGAGAATTGAAAATATTTTCTAGATATGTCAATGTACGAATCTTTTCAATGAAAAAAGAAAAAAGATAATATTTTCCATCTAGATTTTCATAATTGAAGGATTCCATAATACATTTTCATAAAGAACATAAAGAATTTACTTTAGAAGAAAGATTTTAAAATTATGATATATTATATATAATATATAAACGAAATATAGCTATTGGTTTCATTTTATTTTACGCAAAATGATAGATCTTGCAATAATGTGTCTTTATGTATTTGTAAAAAGAGGAATTCAACGATATATTTGCTTTTACCGAAACTTTATATTTATGAAACAAATTGCAAAAACAAAAAGCAGGATAACCCAGTTAAATACGATTTATTTATAGAAGATAACATTCTGGAATATTTTTGTTATAAACTAGGTTATGTAAATTAACGCAAATTTATTTATTTTTGTATCGGATTAAGTTTGAGTTACCTTAGCCTACTTTTATTTTATTTTTAAACCATCGTTTAACTTATCATGTATGTATATAACAAATGACATAATTAATACACTCTTCTGATCAAAAACGAATATAATAAATTAAGGAAACGATTCGTCAATTGATAATCACAATATGGCAATTTCTTTTCCAATTCATCAAATTGTTAATCTTACCTCCTAGATTTTTTTTTTTTTTTTTTTTTTTTTAACCTAAGCTAATCAAAAATTTCCCTTGAA